AGGGGAAAAATGAGGACCTGATGCCAGGGGCTTAAGTGGAGAGGAAATGTTTTGAGAATGATGAGGGCAATGAATGTACAAATGCGCTTTACACAATTGACGTATGTATGGATTGTGATAAGAGTTGTATGAGGCCCTAATAAAATGATTTTTTTTAAAAAGAAAGAAAGGGGAGCAGACAGTGCTTCAGGGGGTGGGGGACCTAGAGTTTTTGTAAAGGGTGATAAAACTATTCGGGAGCCAATCATGGTGACTAATGCGCAACACAGTGAATGTAATGATGTCACTGAATTGTACGAGTAAAAGGGGTTGAAGTGATTTGTTAAAAATATTTCACCACTGCTACCTTGGAAAAGCCACCCCTTGTCTACTGATCTGTCACACTCTGTGGCTTGCCTGTTGCTGCTATGCTGGTATTTCAAATACCAGCAAGGTCACCCAAGGGGCACAGATAACAATGAAGGAAGGAGAATGCCTGAACCAAGCCCTGGCACATTCGATGGGCTAGTGTGCATGGGAAAGTTGGACAATGAATAAGGCAGACAGGAACTGATGCATTTGAATGATGCTATTGGCACAGCATATTGAAAGTCCCATGCACTGCTTGTGGAACAAATGAAATCTGTCTTGGGAGAAGTACCATTAGTTAGTTACTCAGAAATGGGGACAGTGAAATTTTGTCTCTCATGTACATTGGCCACGGTCCTGGGAAACACCAATCCTGGAGAAGGACATCATGCTTGGTAAAGTAGACAGTCAACGAAAATGAGGAAGACCTTCAATGAGATGGAACGGCACAGCAGCTACAACTATGGTCTCAAACATGAGTACAAGTATAAGGATGGCACAGCTCTGGGTGATGGTTCATTGTGTGGTGCTCGGAGCCACCAAGAATTGGAACTGAGTTGAGGGCACCTACCAACGGGAAGGGGAAGGAAGTGTGGTTTTTCTTGATCTGACAAGCAGTTACCTGTGGTCTTCAGACTATTTCAGATTTAAAGTTATTTGTGATAGATGTATTGGGCTTGTCACTGCATCAACTAATTTTTTTAAGAGAAGAAAATATTCAAACAGAAAAAAAATTGTGATAATAAGCAAAAATATAAATGCCCCATAAATTTTCCCACCCAATTATGACACTGGGTGCTTTCTTCCAAATTTTTTTAATGCATATTTTTACATGGCAGTATGTGCTGTCATACTTCGACACTATCACGTAGAATACCCAAGTATATTATAGGCACTTAATGAATGTTATTTTGATATTTAATGAGGTAAAATATGTTCATCTCTAAAT